TCTTAATTGCCCAAAATGTCCTTTTGAATGAGCGTTTGCGCTGTTTACTTTCACTTTCGATTCATTTTGCATTCTACCTATGATAAAACTTTCATGGACTTCTACATTATGTTCCCTCGTGGTGGAATGACCAGCCCAACTCAATCCAATCAGCTGAGTCCTGTAGAAGATTTTCAGGGATCTTAATTCAATATAATACATATAATTAGATGTTTGGTTCTGATATCCTTCGGAGCGTGATTGCATAATGGGTTCATTGGTAATTAATCTGTGTGACTAAATTTAGTCACTATGGTACTAAAGCTGAGAAACCTAATTTATGAAGTTCTAGCAATTTATTTTGAACAAGGACAATTCCACAATAGTCCTTAATATTTTCAAGAAACGACTAAAAACACATCTCTTTCATCTTCATTTGACCCTCTAACTCTAGCACTCTCTATTCTAATGCTAATTCTAATTTTATCTGCTTGTTTTTTTAATTTAAAAACTTGACCCTCTAACATTTGCACTCTCTATTCTATTTCTATTCTAACTACTTGTTTAATTTATAAAGAAAGAAAAGCCTCTAACACTAGCATTCTCTATTCTTTCTACTTATTTTCTTATTATTTATTATAAATAATGACCTTCTAACACTAGCATTCCCTATTCTTTTTCTATTCTTTCTACTTGTTTTCTTTTTATTTAATATAAAAGCAAAATAAGCAAACAAAAAAAACCTTGCTACATATACGGTTAGGCCAAGCCTCGCCCGTCCCCGCCCATGAACCCCGCCCCATACTGTCCTCTTTTTGGAAAACTAAAATATGGTCACCCTAGTTTAGAGGGAGGAGAAATTATTGTTTATTTTTATTGCTGTTGTTACCGTTCATAATAAATTACATGCTGATTAGAAATGTTGATTAAACAATTATATTTTAGTATATTGATTAAAATGTTGGATTTTATTTATTTACTGACAGGGTAAACAGTGAAATTTTACCAGAACATATGATTCCCACATTGTTGTCTTGAGAGCACTGTATGTTCTTTGAAGTTGGACACAATCGAATACTTGATTCATCCCCTTTGCACTGAATCTGTTGTGTCCACATCTGAGCGTCTCCTTTGTCAAAAGCAGCTGCTCCCAGCACCTGTACAGGAGCCCCACAGTCCAGCTCTCTACACACAACCTCTGCATCCTGCTGGTCAAAGGCAGCGTCACACACTGTGTACCATGTGTTCCCATAAAGCACCTCTAATCTCCCAGAGCACAGGTGAGGTCCATCAGCAAGTCTTGTAAATCGTCCATAGTTTATGGTTTCTAAATATTTCCATAATACATAAAACCAATTTAATGGTTAGTGAACCTGTCTTACTGTGAATGTTACAAACAAACAATAACTGCGAGTGTTAATTAATATTGAAAACATAAAAACTGGGTCATTTCAACATTACAATTTCACAATTACTCGTAAATGTATTGTTTCTAACTAGCTCAGAAATGAAGTGTAATAAATTATTCTATATTGCATATGTTGTGTTAAGAGAAGGAAGGTTAATAGGTGATTAAACAATGAGGTGCATGAAATTGCTTACTTGAGCATCTGACTCCAGCATCATAATCATGACGTTCACAGCTTTTACTACGTGTGCCCCATCCTTTTGATCCACAGTCCTGCAGTGTAGACTCTGATCCGTTCACTGCACACTGCACTCCATCCATCCAGATTTTTCCTGATCCTTGTCCAAAGTAAGAATATCATGGTGCTTGTACAGCCTCTCCGCAGTCCAGCTCTCTACACACCACAGCAGCATCAGTCATATCCCAGTTATTAAAATAAAATTCATATATACAATATAGAATGTTTTATATATATATATATAAAAAAAAATTTATCTGTCCCTGTGTATACTTACTAGCTGTGATTAGTGTAACCACTAAATACAATAAAATAAATCTCAAGACAGCTTTCCATCCCTCTTTGTTTGCCCAAAAGACTAATTAATTCATTACCAAAGTTTCTCCTCTGCTCCTCAAACACACTGAAGAAACTGGATCCTGTCAGCCCCCTAAAGAGAGAAACACTCACAGCTGCCAATGACACTCACTCTTACCTTATTAGACACAACAGAGGAAATCATCAAACACAATCAGTGACAAATCAGAAAGCAGCATTTTTATTTTCTCCATATATATCAATAAAGTGTCAGCGCTGATGAGCGGGGCTCCTCCTCCAGCGTGAAGAGACACTTCACTGAGGACAGACTCGTGTCAGTCATAAGTCAGTGTGGAGATAAAGTCACACTAAACTTAAAGCAGATTGATACAGAAACACTGCAGCTTATATTCAGCATCAAACCTGAACCTGAACACAGCAGATACAAGCACTGATGACTGACTGCTCACTTCAGACACTTAACACTTTACTTCACACCCAAAAAATTGTTGACATTTGTGATACATATATAAATTATAATAATCTGAACATTTTAAAGTTATGCTTTGGGACTACAGTTCTTCTGTATTAATATTTTCACTATACTGTTATAATGTTCTAACCAAGAGCACAGTATGTTAATACATTATAAAATGAACAGGACTCTTTGTGTACAACAAATAGAGGGCTATTCAGACAACATTTGTAAATAAATATTGATTTCTATTCCAAAGATATATTCATTTGGCATTATATCAAAGGCATGATAATGCCACTTTAGCCATGAAGAACAAAGCCTGGGCATCCATTAATAGCACTTCTTGTGCACTTGCGGTCTTGCAGACTTACTTATCTAAAATCATTAAGCCATGAGTGGCTGATTAGATATTTGTGTTAACGAGCAGTTTAAGTGGCCAGTGAGTGTATACTGTATTAACACAGAGATAATAAAATGGAAAAAAGAAACCTGCCGCTCCATAATGTTGTTTGTCATCAATGAAGATCTCATAAACTCAGTACTGCAGGTAAGGATAATTTACAAAAAAGAATATCAAAAGTAGGAAATTACCTCGTGTATTGATGAAATTGCGTTACGTCACACAACAGGCAACTGTGCTTGTTTTATATTAATAGATACGACATGAGCTGCACTGGGATTTTAATATTCTGTTGTTAAGCATTGTTAAGGCATAATATATTGTTATATTATTATATATGGTGTATAGAGAAGAAATATTTTAAACGTGTTACAGGTCGTTGAATTACACATATATAACACAGTACTTCTACAGTAAAATGTAGAATATAAAAGTAGTTTATAAGTAAAATATAAAAGCCCAGCAGACAAGCAATATGCATAATTGATTGGTTTATAACACGCCTGATCATATAAGATAATAATAGTTGATACAGTTGATTTTAGTTTATTGTTGTTTCTTTTCTTTCTATTGTGAAAGTTACTCATCACATCCAAAATAAATGCAAGTATTTTTTCAGCATTATCCACTCATGAACTCCAGTTCTTTCTGCGGTGAAGCTGAGGGCTGTTACATCACTGATGGTTATTTGGGCTTATATTTAGGATGTCTTTGATTGTCACTGTGGTTGTGCTTTATAAGGTAAGATCATACATTTGACTTCAGGGATCATGCAATCTCTTATTGACATACAAAAACTTGTCTGAATTTTTTTTTTATTGCTATTAACAAGGCCAAAAATTCAACAAAATCCCACAAAGGCATAACAGATTTAATACAAAAAATGGGGAAAAATATAAAAACCTGAGATATGACGTATCAATAACAATATCGATATATCAATAACTCAAACTTTGTTCAGATGTGTTGAACCGAAGCAGTGGGTGAGATCATTGAGCCAAATGGCCCCCTTCTTTGTTTGACTCCTCCTCCACATCATCATAATCTGTTATTAAATACAACATATTAAATCATGTCAAATACTGTAATTGAATAAATATTTTAAGTCTAAACAACTGGAAAAATATTTAAAAATATTCAAATCTAAATAAAGATGTTAATATAATGAGAACAAAAGGGTTACAATAACTTACCCAACAGGTTTCTCACATCTTCACTGACACTCATCACATCGTCATACTCCTCCTGAACTCCCTCTGATCAAGAATGACATAAAAACATCTCACATATCAGTTTATAAAACACTTTATCACATTTGAAGGATCCCTTTTCCCTTCAGTTAATATGAAGAAATTTTCCCTATTGATTTTCAAGGGTTTTTACCTGCATTTTTACCTGCATACACCCCATTGTATTTTGTGTTTTCGGGTTGCAGGGTTACAACAGATAATGGATAATGGATAACACATAATGTCCTGAAAAATTACTAGTACCTTTTCCATTTTTGTCAATATTTTTCTTACAGTGTACTAACTGATCAACAATCGCAGGTACAAGCTAAGGTGTATCATAAAGTAACAATTATTCAATAACAATTATTCATTAAATTGAACAATTGCAAATAGCAGCTAACTTAATTCACGTGATGTGTGTACTGCTAGGCATCTTTAGTTTCCTCATTTTGTGTAATTTAGATGGAAATTGTGTGCCTTTTTATCGTTTGAGTCACTTATCAAAAGGTAGTAGTATTAGTATTAGTATTAGTATTAGTATTATACTTATACTAATACCAACCCCTCAGAGGACCTCAGATGATGCCAACCCTGAAACAACATACAGAACTACCACATTTTGCTATAAGTTTGATTGCATCATATAATAATTGCTGTTAATAGTGTTCATCGTCTGTTTGATTACGTCTTTAATTGATTTTTCCGTACATTTCTGCCATATGTACATTAACTGACAGTCACCACTGATAAGCTACCACTAAATATTGTAGAAACTTAATTGGCTGTAAAGTTGCTTTGCAATGATTTGTATCGTGAAAAGCGCTGTACAAATAAACTTGAATTGAATTGAATTAATCAAATATTTAATAGAATTAGTTCACTTCACTCATTTATTTATTAATTTATATGAATTCATTAAAAAGGAGTCTTTTTTGAGTGTAATGTGGAGTGAATGTGTGCTTCAGCTCTCAAACCTGAGAGAAGCTCATCAGCATCTTCATACCCAGAATGCAGTTCTTCAGAGATGAGACTCCCTGTTAAAGAAGAGCAGAGCAGTCAGAAACATGTTCATCATTACAAACAGACTGAATTCTCATTTCCTTTGAATAATAAAGGAGGCAACACAACACAAATATTAATTATTCACATTTAAAGTGTTAGTCCTTCTACCCCTCATGCTGTCTGTCTGTTAAGGTTTATCTCTGCGTTAGTAAAGTGAAAGTGAAAGTGACGTGACGTGTGGCCAAGTATGGTGACCCATACTCGGAATTTGTGCTCTGCATTTAACCCATCCAAGTGCACACACACAGTAGTGAACACACACCCGGAGCAGGG